TGCACTCTTGAACATTTATTTTCTGCACGTTCTTTAGAGTGCTGGGGGGGGCCCTTCCTGACCTCCTCCGTCTGCAGAGTGGGCACCATGGATGAGAATGCACCCGAGCAGGCGGCTGCCCCTCTTACCCACTTGCAGGGGTAACTTTAATCTTGAAAGGACATAGAGAGGACAAATTTGAAGAAACGTGACCAAGACTTTATCACTGGTTTGAAGAACTGAAGTATCAAAACATGTTATAACCAAAATAGAGGTTAATAAAAACATTGTATTAAATATTGTGCAAAGTTTGGACAGTATCATATGGCGTAGAAATAAGTTTTATGATTTGAGATGTATGGACAACAAATTCTTTACTCAAAGTATGAAAGGATGCTCCCATTTTATGTTTGTGTTTAGTATTGTTAGGGTTAGGGTTGAATTGAGCCCCAGTAACTGACTGGAGACCAGTGAGTGTCCCTAGAGTGGAGGGGGCGTGCACATTTCACCTTGCGCCCTATAGTAGCCAGGCTGTGGCATTCTGTGCCCGCTGCAGCTTCCAACATTGTCTTTAAGGGCAGGCCCACGTAGAATTCTGTCGGGAATTTTCCACTGACCCCACTCTAGACCATCAGCCAGCTCCGGACTACCCCCTGCGGGCAGGAGGAGGATAAAATGGGGATGGGATGGGTGGATGGTGGTGCAAAGCCAGTGTTTGGATTCCTCTTGGGGAGAAAAGCGAGCTTTAGATAAACGAAATCTCCCAAGACTTTCATTTTGTTTTTGGAAGTCAAGTATTCATCTTTGTAGCTACAAAGCTGTATCCTTGAAAGGGTGTGGACAGTTCTTTCTAAAACGTGAGCAGGCCAAGCTAGAGGATGGCTGCCGCATGTCCCCCTCCAGCGGTTCCGTGGCTGCCGTGCTGTGTGGGGAGAGTGGCGGGGGCTGTGATGCCATTTCGCAGGCCCACTTCTACGAGAGAGAGAGAGAGAGGGAGAGGGGGGGGCTCAGCGGCACCTGCCCCCAGTTCTGGGAAAGCTCCCCAAAGGCCCGGGGCTTGGAGGGCCTGAATGAGCTTGCCAGCGAGGCAGTTCGCTTCCCCCACATTCTCTGCAACTTCTTGCTCCTTCCTGGAGAAAAATGGGGAAATATTGGGGGGAACATTTTTCCAGGACTTTCCCCAGTTTATTCGGATGGAAAGTTTTGAGGAGCACTTTAAAAAGAAAAACCCTCTTATGAAATATTTTCTCCTTTTAGAATAAGTAAAATACTTCTTAAGGCTTCTCATACTCAAAGGGCATACCGTGGCAATGTCTGAGGACTTTTTTTCTGGTGGGAAAACTGGGAAATTTTGGAAACCCTGTGGGGGAGAGGACCCTTATACTGTAGATATATACAGTATTTTCGATATATATATTTTTGTTTAAATGTGAATTCGTTTGGTGGCACTTGCAGGGTTTAGTCTGATCACTAAACACGCTGGGAGCTCTAGCTATTCAGTAAGGGGAGGTTCTGTTCATAACGACACACTTCCTTTGGCACACTTCAGAACCTGTTCTCTTCTTCAGCATTTATTTTTCTTATCTCTCCGATGGCAAGAATTAAAGACGCATGTCCTGTATAGTAGCACAGGGTGTAGCAGTTTGAAACCACTTCTCAGGTACGGGATATACTTGCAGTTTCTGTTACAGAAAATGTAGATATTTATACTCTTATTTGTCAAATAGTACAGCTTTATATGTGCTTACAGAGTTATAACTGATGGATCTGTTGCTAAAGCCATATAAACAAACAGGCTTGATAGGAAAGTGAGCATCTCCCTTATAAATAAAAGCTGAATGGTGGTGGCACTTCTCTAGAACATTCCACACGCTCCAAAATCAGTTTGCTCTCTGATCTGTCATTCAGAGGGTCTCCCTATCCACTGGCTGCTTTGCCTGAGCCCTGCCTCCAACATTCTAAACACTTTGCTGTTCTTCTACCCCCCATAGCCAGTCAGAACACAGAGGTTATTTGCATATGCAGCTTCATTGGCCTTTGCCTCGGAACACAGAGGTCATTTGCATATGCAACTTGATTGGCTTTTGCCTCCAACATTCTAAACACTTTGCTGTTCTTCTACCCCCCATAGCCAGTCAGAACACAGAGGTTATTTGCATATGCAGCTTCATTGGCCTTTGCCAAACACAGAGGTCGTTTGCATATGCGACTTGATTGGTTTTTCCTCTAACATTCTAAACAGTTTGCTGTTCTGAGGCAAAATGTGTCCAATCTCCAGGTGAGGGCTGGAGATCCCTCAGAATGACAACTGCTTTCCAGATGGCAGAGATCAGTTCCCCTGGAGGAAATGGTGGGCTCTGTATCCTTATATGCTGCTGAGGTGGCCCCCATATGACAGCCAATGTGACATAGTTGTCAGGGCTTCAGAGCACGGGAGAGGCTGCAGGTGTGTGGGGGGTGGAAAGCTGAAGAGTGAGGGGGAAATAAAGGTAGGTTGATGATTGGCTGGGAAGGAGATAGGGTTGCCAACTCCAGGTGGGAAATTCCTGGAGATGTGAGGGATGGAGCCTGGAGAGGGTGAGGTTTCAGGAGGCGTGGGACCTCGGACAGGTACAAAGCCATAGACTCCACCCTCCAAACCAACTATTCCCTTCTGGGGAACCATCATTGCCAATCTCCAGGTGAGTGCTGGAGAGATCTCTCAAAATTACAACTGTTCTTTAGGTAGCAGAGATCAGTTCCTCTGGAGAAAATGGGGGACTCAGTGTTATTATACCCTGCTGAGGTTGTCACAGCAAATTGACACTGAGTGCCAGGGCACCTGCCCAGAGCCTCTTTCTAGAGGCCGTTGTATTTATTTCCACAACGGGCCTTTTCCTAGTTACATATATTTCAGTTTTTGCAAAAGTTCCATTTTGCCTCCACCACCTCCCTGAAAAAACCGCCCCCTGAAAAGTTCCTCTTTTTCCCCCTCCTGCATCTTCAGAATTTCTGAGATTTTACATGTTTGCGAATTATGCCAAGTAAGAAATGTAGTGGCATTTGCATAATTTATGCAAATCACTTTTCTTGGTGCAAGGCTTCTTGGCCTTGGATGTAAGGTTCTGTATTTTGATAGTAACACAGCCCACCAAATTCAGGCTTTGGCACCGGGGTTCGACACCGCCTGATGTGTTCTGATCTGCCTTTGGTTTCAAGGGTGAACGGCAAAGCCTGTGTCTTATCCCCCCCTCCCCCCCCCACCCGTTCTGCTCACAGGCACATTTTGCCAGCGACAGGCAACGGAGAGACTGTTGACGAGCGGGGGGGGGGGGGGAAAAACGGCTGGCGGGGCGGAGGGTGGGGGAGAGCAGGAGGGTATCCGTGCTGACACCCCCGTCGGCCAGAAAGCCCCCCAGTTTATGACAGCTGGAACAGAAGGCTCCTCTGCCACAGTGGGTCGCTCTGAATTGGCTGCCTCCAGATACGAGGCGGCTGCTGCTGCTGCGGCTGCTGTCGTAGTGGAGTGTGTGAGTGCATTTCAGAAGGGGATTAAGGGCGAGGGTGCCAGGGGGAGGCATTCTTGTCCTTCCCGGGACAAAAGGCGAAGCGGGAGCCCGCTGTGCCAGGGCTGCTCCCATGTTTGTCTCTCTGTTAATCTCCATAACACTCTGGTCTCTTTGGAGGGGTGTGTGGAGCCGGGGAAACCAGCAGCTGTGGTCCGCAGCCCCCCCCCCCCCCCCGCCCTCCGGCTGCATGCCTTCCTGAAGACTGCCGATCCATGGCCCTTGCTTCCATTTGAGGAGCACTTTAAAGAGCCAGTTTGGCCCCACTCCTCCTCCACTTGCAGCTGCTGGGTGACCTTGGGCAAGCCATAGTTCCGTCAGAGCTGTCCGTGAAAAAGAGCAGTTTGTGTCAGAGTTCTCTCAGCCCCACCTCCCTCACAGGGTGTCTGTTGTGGGGAGGGGAAGGGAGATGAGTTCGTAAGCCGCACTGAGACTCCTTCGGGTAGTGAAGGGCCATGGGGTATGAATCCAACCTCTTCTTCTTCTTCTTCCTGCATGCCCGACCACGCCCGGGTTCTCCGGGTTAGCAGAAAGGCAGACCAGGGACTTCAGTTGTCCCCTGTCTTGGGTGGGGCTGGACTCCCCTCAAAAGGCCAGGCCTGCAGTTTGGGGCTGCTATCTGACACAGCGGTTGCCGTGGAAGACCAGGTGGCCGCGGTGGTCCAGCGTGCTTTTGCCCGGCTTCGGCTGGTGCGCCAGCAGCGTCTGTCCCTGAATCAGTCAGATCCCGCCCCAGTGATCCGTGCCTTAGTTACGTCTGGACTGGGCGACTGCCGTGGGCTCACCCTGGGGCGAGACTGCTGGGTGGGGTCAGGTGACTGATCCTGCAGCAGATTTCGCTGGCTCCCGATCCTCTCCCAAGTCCAATTCACGGTGTTGGTTTTGACCTTTGAACCCCTGCGTGGCTTGGGACCCTGGGGTATCGGAAGGGCCATGGGGTTTCCCATTGGGTCCTTCTTGGGAACTCAGATCCCAGGAGGAGAGACGGGCCCTCCGGACTGTCCCGCCAATCAGAGAAGCTCCTCCGGGGGCCCCATGAGAGGAGGGCCGTTTTGCGGGGCAGCCCCCTTCCCCGCGAGGCGCGCCTGACCTCCCTCATGGTCCATCTTCAGGAGGCAGTTGGAGGGAGTTTTATTTAGGACTTCGCATTTTGACTCATTTAGCTTTAATTACTGGCCACCCTAATCGGGGGTTTTAATCTGTGATGTTTATAGGTTTTGTCATTGTGGTTTCTATTGCGTTCTCCTCATGTTTTATCCAAGTTGTCGGCCGCCCTGATTTCCGCAAGGGAGAAAGGCCCCTCACAGACATGTCCCATAAAAAGGAATAAACCAGATGCTGGCCGATGTCCCGAGTCTGCCCCGTGGGAGCCTTCCGGACGGAGGAGGCCGAGCGGGGCCTGCACGGGGTGGGAGTGGTTCCTGCTGCGGATGTGGGGTGGCTAACCTGTCTGTCCCCCTCTTCTCCCCCTTGCAGCCCACGACCTCCCTCCCAGCAAGACCTCAGCCACAGCACAGACTGGCAGCCACTTGCAGTGCCTTTCTGTCCACTGCACGGAGGACATGGGCGAAGCGAAGGGGCGGACTGCGGTGCCAACGTGGCGATCCCTGCACTCGGACATCTCCAACAGATTTGGAACTTTTGTCGCTGCCCTGACTTGAAGACAAAGAAGAAGAAGGAAGACAGGAATTATTTTTTGTTTCTCTTTCTGTTTAAGGGGCCGCACACACTAGTTGGACTATTTTTCTAGGTTGGTACCTGCTTAGCGGCATAGAGACTGGAAAGGGTTAATTTAAAATCAAGCTCACTCAAGTTTCTTTTTCCTTCTCAAGTCTCCCCCTCCCCTCTGTTCCCAGGGCCGACCCTTCAGGCCCTCCCTTCGCATGTGAAGGTGGCATGCAGGCGGCATCTGGCTACTGGGCCCTCCTGCAGTCAGGGGCCAGCGGTAAATCCCCCCTCCCTTCTGGGGTGCACAGGGCTCACGTCCAAGTTTGGACGGTCCCCCCCCCCCCACACACACACACAATTCTTCTTCTGACCCGAACCCACCTTGGAGAGGTTCTAACGTCTGACCCACTGCGCCATAAGCGTGGGCCGTGGGGGGGGGGGATATGGTGGGTGTGGGGCGGGAAGGCTGAGGAGGTTCCTTATCAGGATCAGGCCCCACGCACACGCAGGAAGTGAGGGGAATGGACAGCTCCCATCTGGCTGCACGACGGAGTAGGGAGCCGAGGTACAGCCTGTGTGAAACCCAGTGCGTGAATCGGGGCTCCTGCTTGAGGGGTTTGTTCCTGTCACAGTCACCCGGGCATCTGTTGTTAGGCCAGGCCAAGTTGTGCCCGTCACAGGAAGAGGAAGAAGAAGAAGAGAGGCCTTTTCTCTCTTACCCATTCTCCCCCCCCCACAGCTGCCGGAGTCACAGTCCCCCCTGGAGTGAAAGGGCCCCACGCTGGCCCCGGGGGTTTGCTGTCCAGGAGGCCCTGCGGGGAACGCAGGCTGCTCCGCTCCCTCCCTCCCTCCCTCCCTCCCTCCCTCCCTCGGTGTGGGGTGGCCTGTTGGCCGGAGGGAAGGGAGCACTGCTGGGGTTTGCTCGGGGCCGAGGCCAGGGTGCTTTGGTGTCAGCCGCCCGAGGCCCAGGGCACGATGCCGAGGAGGCTCATCCCGTCTGTGGCGAAGGAAGGGCATCATCCAAGGAGGTTGCAGCATTGGTCCCGTGGTCGAAAGCGGCTTCACCCGAAAAGCTCTGCCGAGCGCTCGGGGTGGGGGTGGGGGGGAAATTCCGAGGCCTGTGTCCTTTGACTGACTGCCAAACCTTTCCTGAAGAGGAGATGCTCTGGGCCCGGAGTGGCATTCACGGCGACGCCGGCCTTGCTTTCGATGCCGCAGGAGCAGTGGATGCTTTTGCCCGGGAAGGATGCGCTGCATTTCCTGGGTCCCGCCCAGCATCCTAACTGAGCCGGAAGAGAGTCTCAAGAAAGATGCAGGAGTGGGTGAGTTCCAAGAGCTCTGCATTCATTCTTGGTGGGAGCCTCAGGCCCCTGCTGACGGTTTGGCTGCCCAGGCGCAGGCCATGCCCTGGCTTGGCCCAGACAGCTTCCCCCCCTTCCACCGTCACCATTCCAAGCCATTCAGATTCTCCAGGGTTGCCGGTGGTGTGATAAAAGCTGCCGAATCACGGCACAGCTCCCCCCCTCCACTACCTTTGTCCTTCCTCCAGGCAAGATGTCTTGCAGCAAAGAGAGAAACCTCGGACTGCTGCCCCCCCCCCCCCGGATTGTGTACGCAGGACTTGGCCCTGCATGGCTGTCTAGCTGGTCTTCCGGTGGAGCTTTCGTTTAGCCACAAGAAGTGAGTCTGTTTTCTTTTCCTTTTAAAACCCAAGACATTCTGAGGAGGAGATCTAAAGCCTGCTCAAAATCCTGTGAAATTTCAGAAGTAGATTTTGTACTTTTCTCTGTGTGTGTGAGATGCAAAGGCC